CCATATTCGATTCCTTTATCCAATAGTAGCTGAACACCATCCTTACTAACCTCCCACCATGGAGCAACGCTTCCCTAGATGGTAGGAATGGTGAGAAAGTGTAAGGGAACGAAGCGTAATGCCAACCTTGGGAGGCATCCCATGATTAAACACTGTCAAAAGGTGGTAAGTATGATTCAAAATATCCCTCTGCTGCTCAACGCTGAGCAGTGTTGGATTCTGCATTACGCCTCAGAATATGTGAATCGTCAAGGAGAGGTTCCACCTCATGTGAGTAGCCGTGTAAGCCACTGGGGAAAAGAATCAGGGAAAGACTAGGTATGGCGTCCAGATGCACACATTTCGTGTCCCGCATCGCGTACGGCAGCCATCTGCTCAGGAAATGTTTCAAGACTGTGGCCTGTGTAGATCTCAGCAGACGTCGGTAAAGGAGTATGCTTTACGCATCACCAGGAATAAACCATGTTGTTTTGATGTTGTACTTGTCGAAGAGCTTGAGGAGACGAAGTGTTCCAACTTCTCCAGCAAACATTCCCCTGGAAATATCAAGGGGTGAGTCTTCTCCACCATAAGATCCAAGCCTGAAGAGTTTCCAGAGTGAGTTTGAGGGTAAAAAAAATTGAGTCTTTATTGTCACCAGCCAGCCACAGCATCGACGTCGACACCAAAACCGATGAGAACGCGGTTGGCAACCATGGTGGAAGGAGTTATGATGAGGATCTCCAGACGATCCCATTATATTATAGGCGCTTACCTCAGCTGGCTAAAAATAATAACTCGGACACGTCGACAAACCAGAATTTGGACACGCGCAGTTAGCTTTCCGCTTTCTTCTACACGGTCGTTTGCCACAACTACACTTCCAGGCCTACCATCATCGGCCATGCCTGTGGCCTATACGCTCCCTAATAATCTGTCCCCGTCGACAGTCTCAAATACTGCTTCTCTCGTTCGTATTATCACGCTTGCTCTCATCTCTGGTGCCGCTATAGCATCTAGATTGTTTGCTGTCATAAACTTTGAGAGTATCATCCACGAATTGTATGCCTTTTTATAACCCACTTCCTCGTGTTCACCTTTGACACAAAGTTTGTTATTCTCAGTGACCCATGGTTCAACTAGTGAGTGGCTTGGCATATCTGTTTATAGGTCGTGCGTTGAATTATCGGCACAAGTCGTGCAACGAGAGTCTTGGCCGCAAAAGGCTTTTATGTGTGTCTTGTATTCATCTAATCTTGACGACTTTTTCTCAATTCATTAATCAGGAATTCTGGAATTGGTTCGATCCCACGGCATGGTACCCTCTTGGACGAGTCGTCGGTGGAACCGTCTATCCTGGTCTAATGGCCACCAGCGGTGTAATTTACAACCTCCTCCATTCAGTCAATCTTCCCGTCGACATCAAGAATGTCTGTGTTCTTCTCGCTCCAGGTTTTAGTGCTCTAACAGCCTGGGCGACTTACCAGTAAGTCCTTTAATCCCAGAAATATCCTGTTCTAGAATTATGCTTCCAGATTCACCAAGGAAATGAAAGATGCAAGCGCTGGTCTCCTTGCGGCGGCCTTCATTGGCATCGTACCCGGTTATATCTCTCGTTCAGTTGCTGGTTCATACGATAACGAAGCCATTGCCATCTTCCTCCTCATGTTCACTTTCTTCCTTTGGATCAAAGCTCTCAAGCAAGGAAGTGCTCTCTTCGGAACTCTCGCTGCTGTATTCTACTTCTACATGGTTGCCGCATGGGGTGCGTGGGGTCGATTGTCGTTGACAACACTTACCTAACATTTCATAGGTGGCTACGCTTTTATCACGAACATGATCCCCATCCATGCATTCGTCCTACTTCTTATGGGTCGTTTCAGCAGCCGCCTCTATGTCGCCTATTCTTCGTGGTACGCCATCGGAACATTGGCCAGCATGCAAGTCCCTTTCGTCGGTTTCCAACCAGTGAGGACCAGCGAGCATATGGCCGCCCTCGGTTTGTTTTTTTCTGTTCTTTACATAACCCCAATCGACTCACTCTGTGCAGGTGTCTTTGGTCTTCTTCAGATCGTGGCCTTTGCACAACTTGTCAGGTCTCATGTTTCCTCAAAGCAGTTCCAGACCCTCATCGTTGCGGGTGTCATTTCAATTGGTGCTTTGGGAGCCGCAGCCATTGTTGGTCTTACATACAAAGGATGGATCGCACCCTGGACTGGACGTTTCTATTCGCTGTGGGATACTGGTTACGCCAAAAAGTAGGTGGATTACTCGACGTTCTGATCCCGAGTCCTAATCTTCTGCCTAGGTATATCCCCATCATCGCTTCCGTGTCTGAACATCAGCCTACCGCCTGGCCATCCTTCTTCATGGATCTTCAATTCCTTATCTTCCTCTTCCCAGCCGGTGTTATCCTTTGCTTCCGCGAACTCCGTGATGAGCACCTTTTCGTTATTATCTATGCCGCTGTGGCCAGCTACTTTGCTGGAGTCATGGTTCGTCTGATGCTCACTCTCACTCCTGTGGTTTGCGTCTCCTCCGCCGTCGCACTGTCAACTCTTCTCGACACTTTCATTGACCCTGTTGAACCCGATGTCCCAGAGGATGAAACCGTTCCTAGCACACCACAAACCCCACTCACGCCCGCGACACCAACCGGCGCGTCCACCGCCGTGCATACTCCCAAGAAGGCGAAAAAGACTTCTGCAGTAGAACCCAAGGCTACCATCTCTGACATCTTGTCCTCTCCGAACTCCCCTACGAAGGAACACTCACCAAAGAGGGGTATTTTCGGGCTCGACACGAGGCTCATGGTCGTCTTCAACACCTTATGCATGCTCGCGTTCTTCGTCCACCATTGTACTTGGGTCACCTCAACTGCGTATTCATCACCATCTGTTGTCCTCGCGTCACAAAATTCGGACGGTAGCCAACACATCATTGATGATTTCCGTGAGGCTTACTATTGGATCCGCCAAAATACGCCCGAGGACGCAGTTGTCATGAGTTGGTGGGATTATGGATACCAGATTGCTGGTATGGCTGATCGTCCTACACTTGTCGATAACAACACTTGGAACAACAGTGAGTCTGGCATTTCCTTTCTTCTTATGATGATGATCCGACTTCGCTGTCCTTTCAGCCCACATCGCGACGGTTGGAAAAGCAATGTCGAGTTCAGAAGAGGTCGCGTATCCCATTTTGAAGAAACACGACGTTTCGTATGTGCTTGTCATCTTTGGTGGTCTTATTGGATATTCTGGAGATGACATCAACAAATTCCTGTGGATGATTCGTATTGCACAGGGTGTGTGGCCTGATGAAGTGCAGGAGGCTTCATTCTTTACCCCTCATGGCGAGTACAAAGTCGATGAACAAGCCTCCCCCACGATGAGAAACAGTCTCATGTATAAAATGTCATATTACCGGTACGTTGTCTTTCCTTCAGCCATCCTTTTGCGGAGCTGACTTGGGTCGATCTACAGCTTTGCCGAGCTGTTCGGTGGAGGTCCGGGACAGGACCGTGTCCGCAACCAAGCGGTCCCCAAGGTCGGCCCTACGTTGGACTACTTGGACGAGGCATTTACGTCGGAGAATTGGATCGTGAGTATCTCCTTGGCTGCATTTTATGCATTCTCATTCCCTTCGTAGGTTCGTATCTATGAAGTCAAGAAGGAAGATCCATTAGGACGGGACCTAAAAAGTGCGAATGCGTTTGCGGGGGGAAAGAAACACAAGCGTTCTAAGCCTGTTTCCAGGCGTCGTGCTATCTCATAATTGTAATCTTTAGTCTGGAAAAAAATAGATATCTTTGAGACGCAGAAAAGTGCAGGTGTTTAAATTCTCTGCGATATAAGTTTACCTTGGGTGCAGTAACTTACCAAGGCTTAGTGGTCTAGTAGTATGATTCCTCCTTCGGGTTCTATCCCGGCCTTCTACGAGGCTTCATTGGAGGAGGTCCCGGGTTCAATTCCCGGCTGAGCCCTAGCGTTTTCCTGACGACGTTTTT